AGCTGAAGCGTCAACCATTTCTGGCCGGCAACTTTCAGTGTCATTAAGCCGCTGCACCACCGCATCCCCCTTACAGGTTGACTAACCAGCCACATATTTCTTTGCTTTTTCTCTTTACATTGATACATTTGACAGAGATTTCTACAGACTTCCTGTTCTGATTAGCTTGGAAGTTTCACAGAATTCCAGGGTAGAGGGAATGTTTCTGTTCAAATAAAATGGAATAACACAGCATATCTGAGGTATATGCATTATCTTCCCTCCCCAACAGAAGAACTGTAATCAACATGGCAGGAGGACCAGCGAAGCAGCATGTTCAGACACTCTAGCTCTGTGTCAGTTTTGCAATGAATTAATAGTGTGGAGATTCATGCGCTGCACTTTTCCTTTGGAATAGCATAGCTAAATTTCCACCCTCCCTGAACAGAATTTTCACTCACAAAACAAATGAAATAAAACCTGCCAGTTCTCTTTGCTTCATCTATTCACCTGATTGCTGTACATTCTGAACAAACCTGCAGGCTGCTTGTACTTTGTACAGCCACGGGCAAGATATTTGTACTACTATGTAGTGCACAAAAGTGTATGCCCAATGGAAACTCCAGCAATAAGCCAAAAAGTGGTTTGTATGTTTATGGCTTAGTAAACTCTGTGAACGCAGCTAGTGGGGCATGTTAATAATCTATGGATTATTGTACTGGGTTAATCCAGCCAATGATAGTTTAGTCAGTAAATCCTGTTTAAGACAACCATGGATTACTGAATGAAAAAATTATATATGAAAGACAATGAGAAATATATATAAGGCACACACACTTTATATGCAAAAATCCCACATTTGACCCTGGCATCTCCAAACAGAACTGAGTTGACATGTTGAAGTAGCGCAGTTTTACTAATCAAGGAATAAGCTAGTTATCTGAGCTTAGTAATCAAACAGATTTTTCAGGTTTTGCTTTGTATAATATGTGGACCTTGGGTTGTAGTTTTTAAGTCATGGTTTATAGATTACTGCATGAGTATACCACATTTTTGGATTGGGGCACATCTGGAATGTTGACAGTAAGTGCTGGGGACACTCCTAAAATGGCTGCTGTGCTGGCAACAACTGATTGCAAAATATCAGAAGAATTTAAGCCTCAGGGGTATTCTCGCCATCCCAAGGACCTTTGTGGGGTCAAAGGCATTTGTTGCAAATAAATTTGATGCTAAATACCAGCTTTCTAGTTAATTTTCTGAAAAAGGCAATGGAACAGCGAGCTTCATGGGCTTTAAGAATTAGTCTAGGGGTATACACTGCTGCCCATGTTCCTTTCTCCTGGCTTAACGTGAACCCAGCCAACTATGGCTTGTTAAACCAAGCATGGTTTCAGGTGACCTACGAACCCTGACTGTAGAAGGCAGTCTTCTGTTTTCCTTTCATGTTGGTCTAGGGATTCAAGAACACAAGTCAGCAATGCATGCTAACAAAACATCCTAATGTTTCTGTTATGGCTGAATTAATAGATGGAGTGTTTCAGACATTTTATTTATTTATTTAACCAATTTATATAGCCACCCATCTCACCACAGGTGACTCTGGGCAGCGTACAACAAAGCTAAAAACAGTCAATAAATACATTAAAAATATAAAAAGCAAAATAAAA